TCGATATGTTTGTTGTGTGGTTGCAGTGTGAAACTAAGCTTCATTGACAAAAAAAAATAGTCATTCAGCTTTAGTTATTTGCATATATGGCCATTTAGTGCGATTTTAAATACCAAAAAAGAACTGGCATGTTAAATTTGTTTCATTTTCAATTTAAGTAATAATATTAACATTTGTGTTATGTATTGCATGATTTTTGTCCTTTTACAAAAGGTTAACATACTTTTGTTCTTGAGTTGTGCTGAATATGGTCTATAGCTGCTATATTCACTGTGACGTGTAGACTTCATGTAATGATTGGTTACTCCTGTCAGAGTGGATGACAGCATCCCATCTCTGTTCTCTGAAATTGGCACAGCAGAAGAATCTACATACTTCATTGATCAGGGCGCTGTACATATTGTCTGAAAGTTTACACTATTTCCTAAATCTTTAAGTATACAATAAAGGCAAATTGCACTGACAAAGGGTTAGATATAGACAGTTCCATAATTAGGTCAGCTTCAGAAAAAGAACAGAGGCAGATTTGGAGGAATGGTTATCATGGGATCCCCATTTGAGCCTTTTCTTTCTTGATAAACCCGACTTCACATCTGTACATGTTAAAATATTATATAATTTAAGGAAAAGTTTTAAAAATTTAAAAGTTTTTGATAAAATTGATGACAAAACGGTTTCAATATCATTAAATGGTCTTTGCTCTCTTGAAATTAGTGGTGTACAGGACATAATAGGATCAGTACTAGTAAACTAGTCATTTTATTTTTGGCTCTGAAATATCAGTTTAAAAGATTACAAGTGCATTGACTAGTTGAATGTTTGCACATTCCTGTTTGTGTGGGTGTCTGCTTGCATTTGTTTTTCAGATGCCCAACATATGTCACAATTGATTCAGCTGAAAATTTTGTATTTAACTTAATAGTGCCTGAAAACTCATGTTTAGTATATACTTAACAGGCCTACCCAACTACCAGACGTGGCACTGAAGGATCCAGAATTCACTGTAGATCGGATCGCGCTTCTGTTTTTCAAGGTGTATATCAGTACGTGCTTCACAGTATCAGACACGGCACGCGTACCAGCTATGGGCAAGAAGGTGCCGTGTCTGATATTGTGAAGCGCATACTGATACACACCTTGAAAACCGGTAGTGTGATCTGTGCCCCGTAACTTGAAGGCCTCGCGCATTGTGACCGAGCGCAAGCATCTCTATTCCAAAACTCGCCCATACTCGCCCCATATTGGGGGTTATGGCATCAAGACTCTTGCGCTCGGTCACAAAGTGTGATGCTTTTGAGTTAGGGGGCCCTGATCTACATTGAATTCAGGATCCTTCCGTGCCACGTCTGGTAGTTGGGTAGGCCTGGTAATTTTTAATTGTGTAAATCCGACTAATTTTTTAAAATTACCTCTCCCCGACTCCTGGGTATGACGAAATTTTCAAAAATCCGGCCTTTGGGCTTTTATCCTTAGCGGCTGTTATCTTTGACCCTCCTATATAGTGGGATATTTATTACTACTTCCGAAGTCATTTTCTGGTGGTAAATAATAATCTATTTATTAGTGCATCTCGATTAAGTTATATTTAACTTACTGTACCCGAAAATATGTTGAGAACTATCTTCTCGGTAAGAAACATACCTCCTGATAGAAGAGAAGGATCAAGATAAGCCTAATTAAAACCTTGCATCATAACCTGGACGCGACATATTAAAAAAAATTACGCACTTGGCAACGTTTGTTGCATGCAGGGCTCTTCCCAGGATTGAGTGTCAGGCCTTCTAAAATAACTATCTGTAACTTCCTAAAATTGTACAGGGAGTTAAAATAATGATCTCCCGCTGAAGATCTTCCACAATTTAAGTTTCCTTGAACTAATATGAAAACTGCATTTTATTATTGCTTACATCGCGGACAATCTCCATATGAAGATATGAAAATTTCCTTTTCGTCTAGCTAGGATCGGGAACGATGTCCTGAGGATATTACGCGAACGATTCTCCGCCGAAGATATACCGTGAGCGGGAGAGGGGGAGGGGCGGTTTAAAGATAAAATGAAAATGAATATTTTTTAAAAATCCAAAGTATGTGTGTGTGGGAGGCGGGGGGGTTAAATAATTATCTCCCGCTAGCGATCTTCCGCAAACGAAGTTCCCTAAATCCCTTGAACTAATTTGAAAATTGCATTTCATTCTTGCTTACATCGCAAACGATCTCCCGAGGATGATAGGAAAATTGCCTTTTCAGGCCTACCCAACTACCAGACTCGGCACCGAATGATCCAGTATTCACCGGTAGATCAGACCACACTACCCGTTTTCAAGGTGTGTGTCAGATCGCATTACACAGTATCATACCCTGAACAAATTTTGAATGGTGATGCAATGCTTTTCAACCCCGCTGAGTATCGTCACTATCACATCGCGTACTAGGCAAGAGCGGTGTCGCATCTAATACCGTGTAATGCGATCTGACTTCGAGATAATATCTTGATTTTTTCATTGTGTCTTCCTCATTTAGGACAGCCGCCGATAATAATAACGGCGTTACAAATGACAAAGCCGCGGCCTGTGACTTCTATTTGCCGGCTTCATAACGCACCTTAAGCCAGGTAATAATAATGAAACTAAAGACAAAAGGCCGACGTTCCCGCAATTGAGAACGGGAATTCACATCTAAACCATCTATATTGTGAGTAACCGCTCGCAGGGGTGCACTATTGTTCCTATCTCCCGTTGAGAGTGTTATCGGCAATGATATCCTGATCGTATCATTGTCTTGAATCAACTGACGCATTACCTTCCTGTTTGAGCTGGACAACGCGTCCATATTTGGTGACGAACTTTTCTAAAATTATCGAGTACTTTATTTTCAAGGTCGACGAAGTTTTCAAAGGGAAAAAAATTACGCCGGCGAAAGAAAATCGTCTGCCGACGAAATTTTCAAGACTTTACCGTATAACCATTGGGAAATTTAGCTTTAAACAGATCAATTTTTTTTTAAATATTTCTGCTTTTGGTTGCTTAATTGTTGTACAAACTTAAATATTTGCTGCTACAATATCTATTGCTATTACATCATAAAATGTTGGACTCTAGTTTTGCAAAGCACTGTAAGGCCCCATTCAGAGTGAAAGATCCAAGTACTAACAGGTCCAAATATGGCGGACCCTACATGAAAGGAAGATCACTTAATCCTGTAATGGTCTCTCCGCCTCTCACATGCCTCCCCACATGTCTGGTCGAATGGAGCCGAGATTTAATTACTGTGCCCCTGCAGGGATGACGTGTGGGGAGGCTTTTTGAGCCTTAGAACAGTTGTTACTCTGATCTTCTATTCTGAATGGCCCCTTAGAGCCCAAGCAGAACAGATGATCCTTGCATCTACTGTTCTGCACATAAAATATGGCAGACCCTACATAAAAGCAAGACTGCTTAATCGGTTAAGGGTCTCTCTGCCTTCACACGCGCTGTCCCTGAAGGGGCCTATCAATTAAACCTAAGAGCCAAGATTTAATCCATTTAATGGCCCGTGTGGAGGCGGTGAGACTATCGTGGATAAAGCGGTGTTGCTTTCATGTAGGGTCTCCCATATTTGATCCCAAATCATTAGATCCACGGATCATCTTTTCTGAATGGGCTCTAAGACCGATGTTATGCTGTTGAACTTGAATCATAAAATGTATGGAATATTATCAAAACATTCCTTATCAAGATTCAGGCCTGTACAGCTGAGAGTTTTTGCAACCTGTGGAGTTTGATATGTAATGCATCATTATTTTGAGTATGTTCAAGGTGTATTAAATTAGTTTGTGATCAAAAGAACCAAATTGGTTCCATGTAATGAAATATGATAGTTGGTGTATTAGGTTGATTCGGGGTTGGGAGAAGAGTTAGTATTCCTGATATGAAACTGATTGAAGAAAAGATGAATAAACAACAAATTTAATATAAAAATTTACCAGCTTAATCTTTTAAATCTTATTGAAATTGATTTGCTTTTTATTTGTATTTTTTTTATATCTGTCTTTGCTTACGTCTTTCAAGCTGAATAAGTTAATTGTTTTGCTGGCACAGAGGATATCCGGATGCTTTGTCAGCTACCTGTGATGCACCTGATGGTTGTCATAGCAATGCATAACCAGATTTTCCTGGTTAATTAGTTGATGGTTCACTGCCATGTCATGTGTTGGGATGGGCTGTCTTAGGTATATAGCACACAACAGTGGAAATAACTATTATCTTTACAAATGATGCATTGCTTAATCTGTTACTTTTGCCAACCACTGCTGCAAATTTTTGTCTTTCTCTCTTTATTTATGAGGGGGTTGGACTGAACTTTTTTGGTTAGAACCATAAAATTTTGCTTCTGAGTTTGTTATTGAACAATCTGTCAGAATAAAAAATATAATGTCCCAGTTATGTCTTTAACATCTGAATGAGATAAGGAAGTTGGACAAGATGACCCTGTGTGAGCACTTTCCTATCTATACACAATACATTTTTTAGCTGAAGCTTACTTAATTTGCATTGGCAATGATTTCAAATGTGGTCAGTGAAATATTGTCTTTGAATAAATTCAACAAAAAAAGTATGTTACTGCAGTTGCATTTGGTTCATTTATAGCCAATTGCCTTGATGATGGCGTATGTGCACTTATAGCCCAGGACAAATTTGGAAAAGTAGGCAAACAGTGTTTTAACAAATTATTATGCAACTTTGATTTTTGCAGAACCCACCTTATGCCATGCTAATTATCAGTTTATTCAGTTACTTCAGATGTATATGTTAAAACCAAAAAACAAACGCTTAGGCACGGTCAGCTCACGACTCCTATCTTCCAATTCAGTAACGGTTAACATAAACTGATCCTGGCATAACCAAGCTATTTCGAACAATAAATGTGAAAAAATTGATTTGTACTTGTAAAAAAAAAAATTAAATTTGAGATCATGAGATTATGAAAGGCCTTCAAGCTAACATAAATTCTATCTTTTCTAGCTGTACAGTTTTGCCATCAACTTTACCAAAGAAGGACAGAGGCAGTATGATCTGGCAGCAGAGTCTGAAGTGGAGTGCAATGCATGGATTGATGCCATCAAGATGGCAAGGTACTTGTTATGTGTTAGTTTGCACACAAAAAGGTTTTAATCTCATTTGAAATATTTTAAAGGTTTCTTGTGAAGGCTGTGACAGTGTCCTTTATATTAAATTTTATCTAATTGATGTGAGACCTATTTGGCTTTACCACACCTTTGCACCTTGCTCTGTACCTTAATATTTAGTACGAGTCCTATACTCTAAATCCAGTGATGCTGAATTAAGAGTCAATTGTGATTAACAGAATCTGAGATCTAACAGGGGGGATTACATGATGCATATTCTGATATTGCATCCAATGATATCAGTATTAACAATCTTAAATTTTTTTTTTTTTGTTTAGTTTTAGCCGGGTTATTGAACAAAAAGAGCAATTGGAACAAAAACATTTGCACTTGCTTCAAATACTGGACAGTGAACGCAAGGCTAGATGGCAGTATGTTCAGCAGACAGAGGAACTGACAGAGGAGGTGAAAAAACTGAAAACTGAGGTAATGTAGAATATTGTTAAAATTAAGTGATTGTCTGTTTTTTGGGCAAGACTTAAAGGAGTTAAACAGAAAGGTTGTTATATCCATAGATATCTTTGTTTGTTGTACTATGAAGCTCCTCCTGGCATTTAGTATCAGACAAAATCTCCACCAAATTGTAATGGTTCCCATCTCTACACCTGTGTGGTACCTGACTTGAGGATTACATGTCTGTCATAGGATCCTGACTCCAGGAATTTCTCCCTTTCTGTTCACTTTTCCCCCTGTGTCACACTGACCATATGGTCACATTTGGCACAGATCCATCCAAACCATTTTGTGCTAAATTTCTTTCTGCTGTTAGGCCATTCAGGCCACCAGGATGTAGGAATCCATTGGTTCAAACCTAAATCCAGTGGTTCTAATCCAATTTTGCTAAAATAAAAAAAAAGCTTTAAATCATGATATTTAGGACCAAATGGGCTTTCTTACTACAAACAAGAACAAATGTTTAATTACAGTGTTCACTTCATGTACACCTTATGCTTACTTACACATATTCTTTCTTTGCCATGATCTGTTTACATAGTGTCAGATAAAGTATTAAAAGATATTCAATGAGACCTTCCAGTTTTTCTTGAAGTGTACAATTGCAGATGTAAAGGCAGAAGAAAATGTACCAAAATTGCATGTACATATGAATAATTTGAATAATAATATGAATAATTTCATATGTCCTTGAGCTTAAAATAATCTTTGCGCCAGTGGCTGCTAGATATACATATATATATGTAAGTCACTGTATAAACCAGCTGTGTACTTTGGTTACACTTACTTTTATGCATAATTATTTTAGTAATTTGCATATCAGTTTTGTTTAAAGGCAATCGATTATCAGCTGATCATCAGCTGGAAAAGGTGAAAACATTTTGATCCTTGCATCTTGAAATTTTACTGTTTTTTCCTGTCTCAATCAGTTCCATGGATGGATTTGAAAGTCAGTCAGTCTCTCTCTCTCTTTCTCTCTCTCTCTCTCTCATTGCCTCAGCTGGTAAAAGAGCAACAGCAGATAAAAGCATATGCTCGTTGTGGTTCAGGTCTGGCTTTGAAGTTAACAATATCTGTCATAAAATCAATAGCAGCCTGTCCTCTGTTGCAGCAGCTTTGAAGTTCACAACTGTGGAACAATGTGTTATTATATATTCAAGTGGCACATTCCTCCTCAAGGGAGATGGTGCAGTTATATAGCCTTACTGCACAAATCTGCAGGGAAAAGGGATCGACCAGTGTTATCTATGTACATATTACAGTATCATATGTCTGGTTACTGATTCAACAAGTTGATAATATCCAGTGCCATTTTAATGTATACTTAGGACTTATTGACCTTAAAATGAGACATGAATATTAATAAGAGTTGTAACGTTCAGTTGTATTTTTTTTTCCTATTTGGGTCCAGGTAATATAGTCCATGTAAGGTCAAGGTTGCTTTAATTTAGCAAGAACAGTTTAGTTTCTGGGAAAATTATTTTAAACGATACTCTTTGTTGCCTATTTAGATAAATCTTAATAGAGGCTATGCAGGTAAAATTGTATTCCCTTGTGCTTGAATAATTTTTGAAACAAAATGCTTTATTTTTGATGGCTAGGAAAGCTATAATCTCCATTCAAAGTTTTGTGATTTTCAGCACTGTAGTTGGTTAATTTTCAGTGCTTGTGATGGTTGCTAGGGGAGATTGATATCTTGCAAATTTTCTTCAACAGCATATGTTAACTTTGATAAATGAAAGGTAAAGGGTATAAGATGTCATTTGGCTTTATATCGATGTTTTGTTCTCTGTCCCAATTACTACAAAATCTTATTCAATTATACATATTTTGTCATCACTATAGAACTGCAATTATGTATTATGGAAGTATGTGTAAAGTGAACAATTTTGTTGTTATTTCCAATTTCAGCTGCGTGAGTTCAAGACTGGAAAGAAGGATCCTAACCATGTGAAAGCTGCAACATCAACAGAAGAAGAAAGTGATGAAATAAAGAAAATAAAGAAGGTAATTGTTTTATTGTGCTACTTTTAAAGATTGCTATGACTAATTTTTTTACCCCCCAAAATCAAAGCTAAAGACATTCTGCATATAATAAAGATTAAACCATACAGTTTCTCTCTCTTTGTCATGAAGTACAAGATTGAAATAAAAATTAAATGAAAATATATCTTTCCACTGGACTGCAGGCACATATTTGAAAATGATTGAATACATGTATGTTAAAAGTAAAGTGTTACATGAAATGCAGGATAAATAGACTTGTTTATTAAAATAAAACTTAACAAGATGTTTGTTTGATATTTTATTATGAATGTTACTATCAGATATGCCTAAGGTTTGGCCAAGTGATTGAAAATTCTGATTTCTATTTTTATTAATTATACCTAGTCTAGTATATCTTCAAAAATGCTATTAACACATTTAACACTTAGTATATTGAAGTTAATGTGGTTCATTAGAATTAAATGTAAAATTGAATTTAAGATAAATGCAATATATTCTGGATTCTAGCGGGTAGTATTGTCTGCTAAATTAGTCCAGGTAAACTTGGTTTCCAAGTCCGTGGTAGCTAGTCCGTTGTGACAAGCAGCTGAGTCTGCTGAGGAAGCTATAGAAACACTGTGTTTCCCATTCACTTTGTCAATAGTGCATCAATTAGTAGTGTTCAGCTTATTGTTTGATTCCACATTGATTTTAAAGAGCATATTTAGAATTATTTAGTCTTTGAGCTGACCTGTCTTAGTAGAGCTATATAATTTATATTTGAAGCCATTTTCTTTTTCATATTTTCACAGTTCTTAATGCATTGTGTTATTGATTTAATACCTGACTACTGGTATTGCATTGAATCCTCTACACTGATCACACATGCTATAAGCTTATGTGGGTAGACCTCCCTTGACTGCTTGATGTGTTTTATTTGCAGACATTTCTCTGTGTAAACTACAGGCTCTCAGAGAGCGCATGCCCCCGCCAATGGGAAATGTAGACCATTTATTGACTAGTGACAGGATACCTTGATTCCATTGCTATTTAAGATTTGGGGGAAGATGAAATTGTTAAAATTTACAGTTTTTGATTCTTTTTAAATTTTAAAGGATTAGAAAAGAAATCCTCTCAAATCAAATTTCAATCATAGATATTGTTTAATCTCTGGATTTTTAGTAATCTTTCTATCAGACAGACTGAGAAATAAGCTTTAGTGACTGCATTACCTCTCCCATTTGGCGGTGGTTTCTGTAGGCTATGTCCTATAATTTGTACTATTCAATCATGCAGTTTAACACAAACCTATGTCACGTGACTGTGTAGTTAACAATATCTGATCATCTCACATTAGTATATTATCATTTTGGATGTGTGGCTTTTATTAGCGCTTCTGCAAGTTGGGTCCATCTTTTACCTTATTTGATAAGTTTTAGATGGAATGTCCATTGAAAGAATGATGACTCTCACAACACCATGTTTATGCTACTGCATATGTAGGTGTAGTGTCCTTATCCTTCCAGGTATACCTTTATTCTTCAAATGTACTGTTTTATCTTAAATTCAGCCATCATTATCTTTTTAAAGGCCAGGGTGTGCCTTCTATTGATTTTTTTAAATATACATTTCTGTTAAATATGTATATAGCACTAGATGTGGTGAAGATTGTGTTCAAATCAACAAAATGGCCATGTTTATTTGTTCAGATTGGAGTATTTGTATGTGTAAATGTTGTTGTTGTAGTGCTTTGGTTTTGTAGACAAGGCAGAATCAGAAATCTGACCAAAGAGGAAGTGACATTGTTGGATATGTCCATGTAACTTGTTGAATGGCAAATGCTTCAGAAATTGTGCTCTCTGATGCTAGATATATAACTTTTACCATGCAGAAACCAATGATATAAAAGGAATAATGGTATAAAGGAAAAGGTTAAATTCTTGATGGTGATCAAGATTTGGGCTAACTTTTTAATGAATACTTAATCATGTGGCTTTCCTCCTCTTCATAATCTGGTTCTGCCTAAGAATTCGAGATAATAGATGTGTGTAAGTCCTTTCCAAAGACCTCAGCTGACACGGATATCTGTATATTCAGCAGCTTTCTTCAATAGCACAGCAAAACCAACTGCTAAATTGTAATATTTGCTCAAAGACTGTTGACTAGCCATATATTTGACATTCCAATTTTTTATTCTCTCCAAAGTGCGAAGGCAATGATAGCGTATCTCCAGATGATGAGAAATTAACCAAGGTAAAGCTTAGTATATTCCCCTGTGCACATCAGTATATGCGGTGTTTAGATTATGTATATATGTGAGGTTATCATGTGTATATATCATGCAGCACGCACACACTCACACACACACACACGTGTGACATTTGCTAACTCGAGCCTCAGATTTGTAAGCAAAAATGACCAAATTAACAACTCCAGCCACAAAGTAAGTACTCCAACGTAAAATTAGTTGCCACAATGTTTCATTACACAAACTGTTAATCTGTTTATCTACCCATTTGGTACATTCCATATGAGTCAGAGATTGTCGAAAATGCATTGCTGTTGTAATAATAAGCAGTATGGATAGAAGTATATATGAAAACATTGGTTTGTTTTGAGACTTTTTACATATTCTTTATCTTTCTAAAGACTACTTCTAAAGGCAACTAAGGTCTTTCTCCTCCTCAAAATCTGTCAGTTAACCTCAGGTCACTTTATTGGGCTTTGGCATGGATGTCAGAAATCCTTTCTCTTTTGTCACAGATGCAGAAAGGGGATAAAATATCACTCTTTTGTGATTGAGAAACTCTAAAAACTCTAACACTCTGTTTCTGGTATCTTATGCCATATTGAAACAGTCCTGGATTGATAAATAGAACTCATAAGGGGGCTAAGCACACAGCCAGAGACCTGGATGGAAGCTGGCAAAATTGTTTGTGTAATGAAATGCTGGGCTTGTGGCAAGTAATTTTATGCTGGTGTACTTTATTTGTGGCTGGAGTCATTAATTTGTGCATTTGTGCTCCCAAATCTGAGGGCCGTGTTGGCAAATGGCAATTATTGTTTATGAGGACTGGTACACACACACACACACACACACACACACACACACACACACACACACACACTGGGCATAGTGTTTAGAGCATGGAGTGGTTGTTGTTATATAATACTGAGAGACAGGTGGGAAATGCTTGTGGCACTCATTGTTATGATATATGACAAACTGCATTTCACAGCATGATTTGTGTTGGGAGAATGGCACACTTTCACAACAGCCACTGGTCACATGTTACTGCAGGTACAACATTGGTTTTAGGATACTAGCTTCCATACTGCAGTTTGTAATATATCTCCTCTCAGCAGGCATAGCTATACAAATACATTCTCAGACCTGTAGATGTTCAGTCAATTTTGTTTAGTTTGAATATGCAAGACTAGAAAAGCAATCCAGTTTTGTTTCAGCTTGAGATACTAGTGGGTTTAAACAGGCAGAGGCCTCAAATGCAGTGTCATTCCACTTTTACAAGTCACTCTTATGTTTGAATTTGCATAAAATAAATACTGCTATATGATCTGTTGGCCATGCCAGAGTCACTTTAGATGTACCTTGATGGGTGTGGGACAGATTTCTTGGACAAGAACATGCCCAAAGGTCATGATGATGGTCATCGTGGCAGTTAAATGCTATGATATATGATACACCCTTCTGTTCAACCCTTGTTGTCTATACATTGTTATGAACTTGTTTAACCTTCAGTGACAAATGTTTGACTGTATTATAAATATTCAGTATAACTGTTAAATTGATTTATTTTCTTAAATTTGTGTTTGCTCTAATTTGTTTGACATTACCTCTATGTATGCTTTAATATAACATTTGCTAGCTGCCAATCTACATGGAAGTGATGATTTACTTTCTTTGTTTCTTTGATATGGTATATATTATTTGTTTCGTTTACTATTCAGTGGTTCTTTTCATATTTCTAAAATATCTTTAAAAGAATGTTCTGTTTCAGTTAGTCACTATAGCGAGAAACCAACATTCAGGATTGATTTTTAGTGTCTGAATTTCTGAATAGCTCTCTGCTCCCTGTTTTTAATGAATTAGCCAGAAGTTTAGATTTAGTATAATTGGTAAACTGTTTCCCTTTTTTTCCTCTAAGGCAGGTACATGAATGGCAAAATTGGAGTCAGAGGTCACCTCATTCCACAATCTGATCAGCATGATAATTAATGAGCTATCCTGAAATTCAGTGGCACTAATTCATCTCTTTTGTCTTTTGCTGTGGAAGAGTATACAGAATTCTTAGTCATTAAATTAGTCATTAAATTTTCTTGCTTTCAGCTTTTTTTAAATCTCTCTCTCCTCTCTCTCTCTCTCTCTCTCTCTTTCTCTCTCTCATGAGCCAAGCTGATACATAGCAATCACTCTATGTATCGATTTGAACAAATTAAATTTTGTATATATCCCTAAGCAAATGTTGATAGAGACACTCAAATAATAATTCCCTGTGTTCCAAAAAGCAGAATTTGTTGTTGGGAATAAGTATGTTTTTATAAATAACAAAATGATAAATCATGAATATTGTAAAATTGAAATTATTTGCAAATTTTTGCATAATTACCATAAAAATACTGTCCAGTACTGGTTTTTTTTTTTTTTTTTTTTTCAATACACTTAAAGTGTCTGTTGCTGTCTGACACATCTGTTGTTCACCCTAAAGGGGCCAAGCAATATTTTTGTTTTATTTCACATTTACTGAGTTCTTTTCTTAGGCAAAAATCCGAAAGTTTGAGAATTAGTGTAATCAGATTTTTATACCAATTTTATATTTTTTATATTTATTTATTTATTATTATTATTTTATTTTATTTGTTTATTTATTTATTTTTATTTATTTATTTATTTTTTGCAACATTAACCCCATACCTACTGAACCCATTTTTTTAACTTAAAATTGTCTGGAAGGATAGTTTTTATGAATCAAAGTAATTGATATTTATGTGGTTTTTTTTTC